AAAAAACAAATTAAGTAATTACACGAAAGAATAATAGCATCCTGGGGAAAATAAACTAATGTAAAACATTGAGTTCATTGCTCCTTTTGCTCTAAACTCTTGTAAGCAGTTGGGTGTGCTAAACTCCTTAAAAAACTCTCTTGAACGTGCGTATTTTGTCCAAACTGTAACTCCTGCACAACTGTAGACATGAATAACATCAAAGAATTAGGAAAGCAAAATTTACTCAAAACATCGACAAAGCAATGCATGCGACTTCATTAAAGTGTGGTACTTTTGGGTCTCAAAAGTGGAAAATGTTCAAAACAGAGAATTATGTGAACCACAAGAAAAATGTTCCCCTTTTCTGATGGAGGAAGATAGAATACGAGTTCGGTATGGCAGTGAATTACGTAATATTTAAGTAAAACATCAATTCAACACACACGGCGTATGTAATTACTTATTCACAGTAAAAAATGANAAAAAAAAAAAAAGAGAGAGAGAGAACATCAGCCTAAGTAAGTCAATAAGATGTTTGTTCTCTCTCCAAACAATGATAACTAATGGAAATTGACTGCTGGTACTGTCATTATATTATATATTCGATGAGGTATTACGAACACCAGAAAATTAGGCATAAGTTACCACCACATAGGTATATATATCCTTGCCCAAGTTCAGAAAGGCGAGTTGAATTGCATTTAAGTCCATCATAAGGAGTGTGATAATTTCCTACATATCCAGAGACCACAACCCAGGACACATTTGTTCAAACTTCAAATCATCCTTTAAATAATATATGCTGAATTCATGAAATACCAAATGTTTGCACCTGTGCACTTGAATGCAAAACTTGCTCAACCACTTCTGTTAGCTTCTATCATCTATCAAATGTAAAATGATACAGGAAATTGTGGGAGTTGGAAGAGCAACTAGATACAACTTTGGACCCACCATGATTAAATCAATCATTTTGGAAACATTTAGAGACGAATATACAGTGCCACCATCATGATTAAATCAATTTGAAACTTACAGAGATGAATATACAGTTCCACTATCATCAGCTTTGAAAGTTCACTAGATTACCCATTAACCAAGCAACAAAATTCATCTCCTTAAGATGCTTGCAGCACTAATAACTTCTTATCAACAACTAGAACTTAATATTAATTTCTAACTTCAAACAACTATTAAGACTACAAACTGAGTCCAAATATACTTGGTCAGTGAACATGTCAACGGTAACAAAAATATTACGTATATAAATATATATAAGCAAATAAGAACAAGAAAGAAAAATATAAACAGTAATAACAGCTCATAGATCTACTCTATATAAAAGGTTCATAGATATTAGCACCTTTAACAATAATTTCATGTATTACTCATGGGAGGCCATTGTCTGCAGGGTAACTCCCAAGAACCCTCATAAATGTTGCAAACTCCTGCCAATGTTGCAACATTGTTA